TATAATAACCTTTCCCCCATAATAGTCAAACACCTTTTCAGGTCTAGTAGTCTTCAAAAACAATTTTTTAAATTGCTACAAAGATGCTTTTTGTGTAGCTATATGTGATGATTTATCTAGTTCTACATTGTTGGACATTGAGGTTCTTTGTAATGTCTTAGTATTATAAAGATAGCTATAAAAACTATGGCTGTCTTTCCAGCCATCCACAATTACATTTTCATTAAATAATTTTCTGGAAGTAGAATTGCTGAGTCCAGAAGTGTGAAAATTTTAAGGCTTTTATTGTATTGATCGTAGGGACACACAGGGACACTTTCAGAATTGACATTATGGTTTCTAAAAGAAAAGTCTGTGTTGGGTGTGATTCCAGAACTTCAAGTGCCCCGTAGAGCCAAGCTAAGAACGTAGATGAGTGAAGCCTGGCCCTGGGTGATGGGAAACCAGGTGTCAGTGCACACGGAGGTGTGTGTATGTGTGGAGGGGACTTAGGCCAGCTGGAGAGTGTGGGGCTCACCTCATGGGGCTGCCACTTTAGTTAATGTGTACAGTATGAGAATGAGGACTAGTGTATCTAGATCTTCCACAATTTTTTGAGAAGGGCTAGAAATCTGGATTTTTATTTCTAGTCTTTCAGCTTTTAAGTACTGGCTCAAACTGAAAACGAAACTGTGTAAGCCAAAGAGAATGCATTCGTGGACCTCCAGGTGTGGGGCATCAGTTCTAGTAAAGTCATCTTCTTTTTCAAATGGTAAAATATAAACATTGTGATAGAATTATACATGTGCTTCACCTGCATATGTGACAGATTTGAGCAAAGCCCTAATAGAACCTAACATTTGTCTTGTCAGTGATATTAAGTAAATCTGTGACAAAAGTTATTTAATTTCTCAAATGTATTTTGTTACATCATTTGAAAAGAAAAACAGACTAAAATCAGTCAACCATGCTCTTATGAGTTGTACCCAAAGCTTGTTTTTCCACGAACAGAGGGATCCTGATGTATATTGAAATCACCATAGAAACAGGAATTAGTCCCATGTTGTGCAGTTAGTGCATCATTACCAAGTGTCCTGTACAATTTAAATATCTGAAATCAATCAAGCTTCACTGGAGTCATTTAAGTTCAGATTTATACTAGGTTTCCTATAAGTAGAGTAACCCCTGTGTTTATGTCATAAATGTGGATTTTTATTTTCTTCCCTTTTTTTCCTCTTCAGCCTTATTCACAGCATTGCAACCAGGGTGATAAAACTTGCCCATGCGAAGTCCAGTGTGGCCTTGGCTCCAGCCCTAGTGGAAACTTACAGTCGTTTATTGGTCTATATGGAGATAGAGTCTTTGGGCATCAAAGGATTTATCAGTAAGACAGGACTTTCTGAGGTTTATAACCATTGACCCATTCATTGATTCAACAGGTACTCTTCCAGGTGCTGGGATATAGCAGAGAACAAAAGTCATCACCATCATGGAGCTTACATGCTAATGAAGGGGGCAACAAAGTAAAGAAACAAAATGTGCAATATGTCAGGTGATACGTGTTCTAGAGAAAGTAAAGCAAAAAGAGAGATAGGAAGTGAGAGTCAGGGGAAGGTGTTGCATTTTTAAGTAAAGTGGTAAGAAAAGGCTAATGTGCTAAGTACTTAGAACTCAGTGAGCAGGATAGAAGCGGTCCCTGTCCTCAACCAGGTAGATTCTGCCCCGAGGAAGCAATGCTGTTCTCCAGTGTGCACTTAGTCTGCCTTGCAATAGGGAAGGACTTTTCCTATATTGTAGAAGATACCTTATAATGTCTGTTAGTTATTATGCAGTTCTAAATAATAGATACTTTCTATTATGGAAGTGTTTTTTTTGATTCATGCTAATTCTCATTTTTTACCAGCACAGCATAAACTTTAATTTTAAGCGTAGTAACCCTTCTCAGATAATTGAGAGTTGAATAAAACTATCACACCTACCCCGAACAAGGGTGGGTATGATAAAATTTTCTGTATTAAAATGTGAAACTCATACTATGAAAGGTTGGGAACATTAACTTTCCAAAAATAATTTAAAAGGTAACTGAGAAGATAATTTAAAAGCGGAGGAAATTTAGAGTAATTTTTTTCATACCTTTTCTCATTTTATTTTTCTAGATGAACTTGAGTATCGCTTGCCAAATTCCACAAAAAAAAGCAAAATTATTACTTGATGTTATAATTAGGATCTGTTTTTTTCCTAACTATTAAAGTAGAAAATAAGAAGAAAATACTGAGAATTTATATGTATACACATGTGTGTGTGTGTGTGTGTGTGTATTTTCATGATCAAATCTTTACATGCATTTTACTCAAGGTGACTTTCTTCAAATATGTTTTAATGCATAGCTTTTAATAATTGATGCCTTAAACTGTCTTGTTCCTCTAGGTCAGCTTTTGCCAACTGTTTTCAAGTCACATGCATGGGGGATCTTACACACGCTTCTTGAGATGTTCAGCTACCGGATGCACCACATTCAGCCGCATTACAGAGTTCAGCTCCTGAGTCATCTTCATACTTTGGCTGCAGTTGCACAAACAAACCAGAACCAGCTCCATCTCTGGTGAGCTCATTGAATGCTGTCTGTCCTTAAGATTTATTAGAAACTTTGTTGGAGATGGGGATCTTAATCCTTTACCTTATAATTTTTTTTAATTCATTCATCATAAAACTCCTCTGCTTCTAAGGTATTTTATTTCTAGTATAGGAGTGGAGTTGAGTTTTTTGAATAGAAGTTGATTGGCATAGTTGAGTGCTTTGGGATTTTTTGACTGAGAATTAGTACTTCAAGGCCGTTTAGAATGCTAGATTTAAATATACTTCAGATTATGGTTGAAGTGTTAACGTCATTTTGCTTTTACTTTGAATTAAAATATATTTTAGATAGAAAAAATATAATTTTTGAAATATGGTATATCCAGGTGATATTTTTAGTCCTGTAGGCTATAAGCTATCTTTTTCAAATGTATAAAAATGTCATAAGATTTTCACTATAAAATTTGGCACCTCACGTTTTTTAAACAAATTAAGCAATGTTTATTCTCAAACAAAAATTTTTGTTGTTTTTTTAAAATCAAAGAAGGGATATTCATAGTTTGCATGTTTTCCCTTTATGATTAACCTAGAATTAGATTTAATTCCATAATTTTGAAATTTTACATGCAACTTTTTCACATTTCTTTTTGTTCCCCTACCTTTCAGTGTTGAGAGCACTGCACTCAGGCTTATAACGGCATTAGGTAGCTCAGAGGTACAGCCACAGTTTACACGCTTCCTTAGTGATCCCAAAACGGTGCTGTCAGCAGAATCTGAAGAACTGAACCGTGCCTTGATATTAACCTTAGCTAGAGCAACTCACGTAACAGGTACAGTGAAAATGCGACCGACACTGACAAAAACAGATGAATTAAAGTGTGCTAGGATTCTACTAAATACTGTATGGGTATAATATATAAAAAAGATACTTTTCGTTTATTCAAAAAAAGCCAGTTGTTTTGATGTCTTCACTGTGTCATACAGTAATGGAGGCTTGTCTGTATACGAACATTCTAACTGGATTGAGCATCAGTTTCCAGCCATTTTACATAACTTTTAAGTAGTGGTTCTTAAGCTTTTTGGTCTCAGGACTGCTTTACACTCTCAAAAAATAAATTGAAATTCCCAAAGACTTTCTATTTATATGGATTATATCTGTGGATATTTATTCTATTAGATATTGAAATAGAGAAATTTTAAAATATTTATTTACTAATTTATTTAAAAATATTAATAAACTCATTACATGTTAACATAAATAACACATTTTTATGAAAAAAGTATATTTTCTAAAGCAAAACTTGAGAAGAGGTGCCATTGTTTCACATTTTTGCTTCTCTCTTTAATGTCTGATATAAAGGAATAGAGCTGGATTCTCATGTCTGCTTATACATTTAGTCTTTAGCAATATGTTGTTATTTTAGCTGATGTAAGTGAAAAAAAATGTGGCTTCAAACAGATGAGATTGAAAAGGAAAAGAGTATTTTAATAGTCTTTTCATATAGTTGTGAATATTTTTTGATTTCACAGCAAAATTGGAAAAATCGTAGTTCCTTAAAGATTGGCTGCAGTGTGGAATCCAAAATCCTACCAATGAATTTTTTGTACTTTGTTGCCTTGTAATCCATTCATCAATTTTGTACATTTAATATATTTTTAAATCCTTACATATTTTATAACTTCATGGATTGATTGGAAAATATCGATTCACTGAGTTACGTAGATCTAGTGAATGTTGACACGTTTCATTATACAGTATCAGAAAATTACATTTGTAATATCACTACAAATTTTGTTAAGAAAAAGTTTTTAAATTTTGGAATGCTATCATGGTATGCTGGTGGCTACAAGTTTTCCAAAACTCCAATTTTTATGTGGAAGGTCAAATTTTATTATTGTTAAAAAGTATTATAGTTTGTTTTCCTTGAAGTGACAAGCTCACTGTTAATTTTCAAGAAAATGTCTGCTAAATGCCTAATCCAAATAACTATAGTTTCCTGTCAGATGTTCTTTCAAGTAAAAATGGAATTCCATGAAAAAAAAAAATCAGCTAATTTCACTCAGTGTTCAAATAATCACACAAGTACTTTTCCTCAAAACACCCATCATACTCTGGAACAGTGTGCATGCTTCTCAATTCGTCACACAGGATATTAAAAATAGATGTCGAGATTTAGTAATTATTACTTCTTCATGAACAACATTCTTAAGTGAAACTGGCACTTTTCTTTCCCCACTGAGAGTGGCCAAGAATACAATGGCCATTAATACAGTCTAGCACCACTGTTTGATTTGTGTGTAGGGCCAGCAATTTTACCACCATTGCTTTTGCACCATCAGTGCGCCTATCAACACAGTGAGAGAGCCAGTGATATCTTGGTCTTATCATTTAAATAGCTTTGACAGTCACTCATTGAATTGATATTAGGGACCCCCAGAGGTCTTCAGACCACATTTTAAGAACTGCTGCTTTAAAGAAATAGTTTTTGAATTTAGCAACCTCAAATACATTTATGTAAAAAAAACTATATTATTTAACATAAATAAACCTTTTCAATTTGCAGATTTATACTTGTAGTGTATAGTTGTTTCATTCACTGGAAAAGAAATCTACTTTCTTAATTCTATTCCCTTGGCACAATACAGTACTGGTAAACCATTGTCAGAGTGAACTAAATGAGCAATAGTGGTGGGCCTGTTCTACTGTCATATCATTGGTACTCTGCAACCTGAAACAAAAGAGATTCACCAATTGTGCTCATATTTACTAGTGTGATCATCCAAATCACCCATAAACTAAGAAAATCTAGGTCCTAAGCTGAATATAACTAGTTAAGCAATAACTACACTGCAGAGAAATTCTCTGAGTGTACATAATTGTTTGTGATTTTTCTCTATAATATCTTTTATGAGTTGTGGATATGATCATTTATATCTAGATTACATCTATTTGTTTATGTTTAGATTTTTTTACAGGCTCTGATTCAATTCAGGGAACTTGGTGTAAAGACATACTTCAGACCATCATGAGTTTTACTCCTCATAATTGGGCTTCACACACCCTTAGCTGTTTTCCAGGCCCTCTACAGGTAATTTGGTGTTGAATTATTTATTGAACACATATGAAATTCTTTTTTCTATGCACAGTGTTATTCTAGGGAGTCAGTCTTGGTGACATCCGAAGAAAGTTAGTTTTTATTTGTTTTTAAAAAAATGTTTGTCATTACTTCTAAAACCTCTCAAGTTGTTCCTTGTCCTACTCTAAGACTGGACATGTTTCTAGAAATTTAATTATTGTGGTTTCATCTTAATAATTAACAGTTTTAGAATCTCATAAAAATTAATACATTACCTGAAAAATTCTTTCTCTCTCATAGAACTGAAATGGGGAGAGATGTAATTTAATGGAGCTTCACAGAGTGTACAGATATTATACTTAACTGAATTTTTTTTTTAAATCACACAAAAAACTGTAAACCTGGCTTTTATAATATGGAGAAAGGCAAATCTCATCTGTCTTCTACTTTTCCGAGAAAATTTAAGGCATGATGAGCATCCATTTCTCATAAGTCTCAGTAGGGCTACAGCAGTGGTTCTCACACTTATCAGAATCACCTGGAGGGCTTCCTAAGCTACAGTTTGCTGGGCCTCAGAGCTTGAGGCCGTAGACCTGGGATTGGGTCTGAGCATTTGCATTTCTTGCAAGACCCAGGTGATACTGATACTGCTGGTGTTGGGACCACACTCTGAGAACCACTGGGCCAGTGTAATGGATTTTCCTTATAGAGACACTAACATATGTAACCAAAGGGTAAATACATATTTTCCCCCTTTTTTTCTCTAAGATTAGCAGAAGTACCAACAGATGACTGAAGAAGCTTTGAATTCAAGCTTGCTTAGCTTGTCTGTTTAGGAAATCTAGGAAAAAGAATTTTGCAGATAATCTAGTCAAGCCTATGGACTTTCCAGGTATGGAAATTCAGGCTTTAATTACTGAGTTGCTCAAGGTCACCTAGCAATTATTAATGTCAGAATCAAATCTAAAACTGGTTTCTTAACTTGATATCCAGTGCTCTTTTTACTATTACCAATGAAATAAACTTTTGGTCTTCCTTTTAGGCATTCTTCAAACAAAATAATGTACCTCAGGAAAGCCGTTTTAATCTGAAAAAAAACGTGGAGGAGGAATATAGGAAGTGGAAGTCAATGAGCAATGAAAGTGACATCATTACCCACTTTGTGCAGAGCTCTCCTCCTCTCTTTCTTTGTCTTCTCTGGAAAATGCTCTTGGAAACAGATCATATTAATCAGATTGGCTACAGGTGAGCCAAAAACCTAATTTACATTCCATTTGGCAAACTGCTCTAACCATACAGCAATGGAATTTATGTTTTACTCTCTGCCTTCCAGAGTATTAGAGAGAATTGGTGCCAGGGCCTTGGTAGCCCATGTGAGAACATTTGCAGATTTCCTGGTATATGAGTTCTCTACCTCAGCAGGGGGTCAACAACTCAATAAATGCATTGAAATTCTTAATGACATGGTATGGAAATACAACATTGTTACATTGGACAGATTAATTCTCTGCCTGGTAAGAATAAGTATCTAAACTTTCTTATTCTCTTTTGGATCAAGGTGTGTGACTGATAGATCTTGTGCTGATCTACTCTATATTGCCTTGAAGAATTTAATGGATTTATACTTATAATCAAGCATTGTTATCCCTTCCCTAAGGAGCTAGAGATTTCCCAATTTCCTTATTCATTCATTCAGTAAGTGTATATGGAGTATCTACTATGTTCTAGGCACAGAAGATACAGAAGTAAATAAAATAGATAGGGTCCTACCTTGTGATGCTCTAAAAACAGAAGCGGTTAGACCCTGAATTGATTTTCTAAAGAATCCCACTAGAGGCAGGAAGTAGTAACAAGTGGCTGCATATCTTTGCAGAGTGGTAATATCACCAGTTCTGTACACAGTCATAACTGAATGTTTCTCATAGCCACCCAACATCCCCTGAATGTTTTTTTCTCCTGACTTTGTTATCTATTTCAAGCACATTTTTAAGAAAAGACACTGAACCAGGCTGGAAAATGCTGCATTTAAAACAATTCTATGATGGTGATATTTGGGGTGGCTTAGTTTGTTAACATTAACCCCTAGCTGTGGAGCATAGATCTAAAGATAGTTACAATATGAGGGATGTGTGGAAAGTATCCAACCACCGCTGATATAACAAGAATGGTTACTTGCCTGGATACTTTCCAGACAACCCTCATATATTAGAGGAAATAAGGTAAATCTCTAAATCAGTAAAACAAAAGGATAAGATAGAGATGTGGGGACAATATTGCCAGGAAACAGTGAGCTATCACATCAGCCTAGGTAATGGGTGGTGATGGATAGATTAAATTAAAAACAGTAAAGATAGACATTCCAGGCAGAAGGAATGGTGAGCTAACATGGGCCCCCAAAAAAGGTCAGATATGTTTGAGGAATGCTGAAGGGTTGGTTTGGGATAGACTAGACATCTAAGGAAATTCTAATAATAGTGAGATTTTACTCTAATAAAATTTAGACTATCAAATGGCAGAGCCTTTCTTTTGCGCAGTTTGGGCATTTTTATATAATTTTTCTGTTCTTCGAAGGCCATGCGTAGTCATGAAGGAAACGAAGCCCAGGTTTGTTATTTCATAATTCAGTTGCTGTTACTCAAGCCAAATGATTTCAGAAACCGAGTAAGTGACTTTGTGAAGGAAAATTCCCCAGAGCACTGGCTACAGAACGACTGGCACACGAAGCACATGAATTATCACAAGGTATGAATTCTAATTAGTGTTTCATATAATCCTTTTAAAGCCATACTTAGGCATTTGAGCAATTGATTTGGCTGTTTTCTCTATGGTTCTAATGTTTTCTCTGTGGTCTGTATAGAAGTAAATTAGCTCTCTAAACTTAAAGGTTCTAGAGTTTCTCTAATATTAGAAATAAATTACAACTGCAGTTTTAGTAGACATAAGTATTTATAATATGGAAAGAAGTAAAGTATATAATGTTTCCTTATAAAAATATCTAAACAATATTTTCAAGTTTATTTAGCTCTTTTAAGAGAATAAAAATAGATGCACTAAACATTTATTATGTCCTCACTTCCACAGAAATATCCTGAGAAGCTGTATTTTGAGGGCCTGGCAGAACAGGTCGAGCCTCCTGTACAGATCCAGTCTCCCTATCTGCCCATCTATTTTGGAAATGTGTGTCTACGATTCCTTCCAGTATTTGATATAGTAATCCACAGATTTTTAGAGTTACTTCCAGTATCCAAATCATTGGAGACACTACTGGATCACCTAGGAGGTTTATATAAATTTCATGGTGAGCTTTTTAAAATTTTAATTTCATCTGGTTCCTCTGTAAACAAAAGGCTGGGAGTGACTATGTGGTAGCAGTGGTTCTAAAGGTTTTGTTTTAACTGTTTTTAAAATAGAAGTTTTTTGAGGATAACTGCTATGGATGATGCCATGAAGTATAAAATACACAACATAAAAATATGAATAAAGGTATGAGTTCGGAACAGTGATGTTACTGTAAGTTAAATAGATCTTGGCAGGCTTCTTAGATGGGTAGGATTTCAACTGTGATGCATATGATTTGTACGAGAAGAAGGGAAAAGAGAGTATACTAGGCAGAAGGGAGCATTTGGGAAAATGATGAAGGTAGATAAAATAAGACATACTTGAAGAAAAATTGTCTCATTCAGTTGAATTGAGAATTCTTACCAGAGAGTTCTAGATTCTAGAAATATGGCAGACAAGAGAGATTCTATCTGACTGCAGATCACCTTGAATGCCAGGCTGCAAAGGTTTTATTTTATAACCTGCAGATAATAGTCAACTGGAAGTTATTGAGTAAGATCATGGTATGGGAAGCATTATTTTAGAAAGATAAATCCAATTGTAATCGGTAACATGTCTTAGAAGAAGGAAGCCATTTCAAAAAGCTCAGATGTATAATTAATATCTAAACAAGGATGATGGCATTAAAAATGAGAAAGAAGGGACAAATTGTCAAGAAAGAAGGAGCAGGATTTGATTGGCTGATTATGGGGAGAATATTGAAACAAAAAAATCAAACGCAGCTCTAAAATTTTAAACATAGTAACTGGATAGTGGGAGGGTCAGTGACAGAAATCTGAAGGTCTGGAGCAGCCACTATGGGGACAAAGTGTATTTGTCTGGTGGGCAGCTCTTCTTCTTAGTCTTTAATCTGAGATACCTTCTACCAAAGCAGAAGTATGAGTTGTGTTAACACTATAGAAGAGGCATGAGGTTCAAGTGAGCATTCCCTTAAAAACATTTCTTTTGGATTGGGTGATATATGCACATGGTACAGAATGGTATACAGTGAAAAGTGATTAGTCCCATCCCTGTTCTCCAGCGAGCCAGTTTCATTCTCTGCAGGCCACCACTGTTACCAATTTCTTGTGTATCCTCGCTTAGATATCCTGAGGGTTTTTGTTTTTTGTTTTTTTTTTTGAGACAGAGTCTCACTCTTTTGCCCAGGGTAGAGTGAGTGCCGTGGCGTCAGCTTAGCTCACAGCAACCTCAAACTCCTGGGCTCAAGCAATCCTTCTGCCTCAGCCTCCCGAGTGGCTGGGACTACAGGCATGCGCCACCATGCCCGGCTAATTTTTTCTATATATTTTTAGTTGTCCAATTAATTTCTTTCTATTTTTAGTAGAGACGGGGTCTCGCTCTTGCTCAGGCTGGTTTTGAACTCCTGAGCTCAAACAATCCGCCCACCTCGGCCTCCCAGAGTGCTAGGATTACAGGTGTGAGCCACAGCGCCCGGCCCTAAGGGTGTTTTTTACACAAATAAAATGTAACAAACACACTGTTCTGTCCCTTGTTTTTTCACCTTTATCATATATTAGGGTTGATCGTTTGTTTCAGTACATAAAAAGCTCATATGCCGTAATTTACGTTAATTTACGTTATGTCCCCTGTTTTTGGCTGGTTGTATTGTTTCTAATCTTTTGATGGTGGAAACAGCTGCAATGAAATTCCTTACTATATGTCATTTTTGCTGGGTAAATTTGCAGAAGTGGAATTGCTTCCACTTAAATACAAACAAATGTAAATACAAACTGTGTATTTATTAGAGGCATTCTGAGCCTTCTGCCTGTTCTAAGATTAAAATATTCATTGTATACAGTTGCCTAGCATGTGCAATAGTTTCATAATCTTATGAGCTGTTTTTCAGTGATCTTGAAGGCAGAGGATTAGTTTTTCACAGTTGTCAGTAACCAGATAAACATTGTGGTTTTCTGTTTTCTTCTTGCAGATCGTCCAGTGACTTATCTGTATAATACTCTGCACTATTATGAAATGCACCTGAGAGAGCGCAAATTTCTCAAACGAAAACTTGTCCATGCAATCATTGGCTCGCTCAAGGATAATCGACCACAGGGCTGGTGTCTAAGTGACACTTACCTGAAAAATGCCATGAATGCACGAGAGGAAAATCCCTGGGTTCCAGATGATACCTACTATTGCAGATTGATTGGCAGACTAGTAGATAATATCCTTTTTATTATGATTTTTATGGACTCTCCACAAATAACAGGATTTTGACTTATGAAAACATATATTTTCTTTTTAAGATAACCTTTTTATATATTACAAGGCTTCAATTTTTTTTAAGGATTATTTTCACTTTTACCTCTGTGTAGGTTTGAATTCTTAAATTAGCAGCATCATGCCAGATAGTCTGAAATTCTCTCCACTAAAATTTGTATTTAAAAACAGACTTTGTGGAGATTTGTTTCAAAGAAAAAATCCTATTCTTAAATAAATGTACTATGTATTGTAGCACGTGCATCTATGTGCTCCTGGAGAACATAGGTTCTTGTTGCTTTAAGTAACTCCTTGAATACCTTTAAAAATTTACTCAAGCCAAATG